GGGCACTCCAGGACAAGAAAGGCAGATTTCCCTTGGCACAGGGTAAAGGACACCCAACGTTTAATTACTGTAAACGCCAGTGAGATATTTGCTTTTGACGTAGCAGTGAACAGAAGCAGCCTCTGACTCACGTAACCCACAACACAGGTTGGAGTCAGGGTGGAAGAGGTGTGTTTTGTCCAAAGCTTTTTTTTCTTCTGAAAAAACCATAAATGAATAACTTCACAGGTTACTTTGGCTAGCTACTGACAGATGTCATTATCAACTGTTACTATTCCTCTAAATTCCCCAGAGAAAAAGATGAGGAAGATTAACAAAAACTCTTCAGCTCTATAAAATAATTATTTAAAACTTTTAATAACCTTTTTTTCATTTGGTTTTCTACTTATATAGAAAGCTATTAATACAAGTTCATATAAAGTTTCTGGAAAGCCAACAAGCCACTGCAACACTTGAGATGTTACTCACATGCAAATAAAGATCATACCGTGTAGGTAACACTGTCACAGTAAAACTTCTGGGAACTTTACCTTGCAAGCATTGTTTTGGAAGCAAAAACATCAAAACAATATCAGGAGAGAAAAAAACTACTACTGGAGTGATTGGGTCCTCCTTAGTATAGTGCAGTTGCACATTCAGAGGGAAAAAAAAGCTATTATTATTGAGAAAATGAGAACTTCCCAGTATTAGGGCAAGGTGGCAGCCTGCTAGCCAACTGAAGTCCCAAAGCAGGAGGCACAGACACGATCAAGCAGTATCACTTTTGTTTCAGTTTTCTACTAAACAAATATTTTATCCTTTCTGTAGTTCTTATATGGATTATCCTTGGGGAATTGGTGTTCAGTGTTTTTGTATCCATCCTGCCAAAAAAATATTTAATTTGTGCACATCACCAATTTCCAACCTCTGTTTCTGCAGTATCTTGGTGAACAAGAGATAAATTTTCTTCTCCTCAATCTTAAAAAACAAGGCTAACAGACAGTGAAACAGCTCACTAAATATCTCCTAAATTTCCATTTTATTGGAACAGCACTTGAGTTTCAGGAGATACTGGAAGAGCCTTCATTTAAACGAAAAGCCTACTGGGCATCAGTTTAAAGCTCTACACATTCAGACATGATGATGGTTGTTTAAAAAAGTTATGGTCTGCCACAATGGTAAAAAAATAAATCCCAACCACCCCCAATACTCAGTGTCGCTGAAGTCTCACAGATTTGTATTTTTTTATATTCTACTGATTTAAATATTTTTATAAATACCAACAAATTGACACCCTTTTGGCTGGCTGTATTCTACAAGAAAAAAGTTTAATTAAGTTAATGAAATTATTTAGTCTCCGCTTCCCAGAGCGCTGCAGCTTTTGCACTACCAAAAAGCTATAGAAAAGTATTTTTAAAATTACAAGACCACATTTGTATGAGGAGGAATATGTACATGGTAAGGTATTAGCATCTAGAGTTACAAGAACCTATAAATCAACCCTTGCAAACAAATATTTGATACGTACTGAGTTAGAGAAAAAGGAAATCAGAAAAATCTGTGGGTTTTTTTGTTTTGTTTATTGAAATATGAGCAGCAGTATGCAAAAAATATCTTTAAAAACATAACATAGCAAAACCTAATAATTTTAAAATTAACAAAATAAAAAGATGTTTAGAGTTAAATGAAAAACTCATTGCTAGAACCGTGTTTCCTACAATGTAAACAAAAGCATAAAGGTTATGCTTGCAACAAACACAGAAGCAGGTTTATGGAGCAGCACAATAAAGCAACATTATGATGTAATCTGATGGTTTGGTCTATTGATTTGAATTCAGAATGGGCTACCTTCCTAAACAGAAACTTCACAAGTACAAACAAAAAGTTAGTCACTCACATTTTTCTTTTGAAACAAAACATTTAGAAAATGTTTTGGGTGTGTGGGTTTTTTGGTTTTTGTTTTTTCTGAAAAACCATCACTAGCAACACTTTGGGCAACTAAAAAAATATCCTGAAAAAAAATACTTCAATCTAGGGAGAAAGTCTGACACATTTTAATATTCCCTAGACTTACACTCCAAGAGTATCTGCCCAAGAATTGACATCTTTCACATTCTAATACCATGGCAGAGGGGAATCATAAGCAAACCCCAAATATTTTAAACAACTCTACACAGAATCACAACACATGGGCTGTTTCATCATTCTTCTGACTAATGGGCTGTTCTGTTAGGTTTGTCTCTCATCGGTCAGTCATACTAGGAAGTTTTATTTTGGTCCTACAGGTACTAGAACCCAATGTCATCCCTTCACGTACAACTACTTCATGCCTAATGCAATTAAATGAACGTAATACTTACGCAAGGCACCGGATTGACTGCCAGTAAGACTGAAGTCCTCTAAGGAGGAATATCCAAGCTACTATCTTATCTGAGTGGCTAGAAAAGCAAACCCAGAATGAACTGCAGTGTACGCCTGTCCTAGGCTCTTTGCTGGTATTGCCAAAGCTGTTAGTTAATGCTGTGGTTGGTGCAAAGTAGAAAGATGCCAAAAAAATAAGAAAATACTTACACTACAAAAGCCAAAACAGTTTTCACTGAAGAGTAACATTCAGCCTAAGCTGGGCTACACGGGAAAGGCTCCATCTTCCACTACCACGCTACTGCCTGATTCAATTTCTCCATCCCTCCATCTAGAGCAAGAAGTGACTTACACACAAGTCTGCTGCAACAGTAGCAGTACTCTCTGCTCTCGCTGTACTTAAAACATCATTAGGGTCAACAGCTCGCCATCCAATCCATCCGTGCGCTGACATCTGAATTTTCTATCAGCAGCACCAAGGAACTAGACAGGATTAACAACACCACGAACCAGCAGCACACATAATTTGCTAACTAGAAAACTCTTGCTCTTAGAAAGTCCCACTTAAAAGAGAAAAGTAGGACACAGAGAAATCTTACTGAGTCTGCCCCTGCATGCCTGCCCTGGCAAAACCAGCAGTCACCAGGATATCCCCAGTACTGCGCATAGTACAGATCAGGAATATGTACACAAGTAGAAAAATGCCAGAGTGCTTCAGTACTTAATGACAGCATCAGAAGTGGGTTAACTGGATATTATTGCAGAAATTATGGTTCAGTGCATGGGTAGCCAATCTAACCACAACAGTAGCACCAAGCACCAGCTCTGGCTCATGAACACCCACTCCAGCACCCGTTCTTGAGTCATGCACTTGGCCACATCTAAACACACAAGTGAACAGAGATGAAGCCAGGTGAAAAACATGTTGGATAAAGTAAAATCTTGTACCTACAACTGAGATCTTTCCTTAATTCAATGTGACATGACATTTATTATAAAAGTTAGTCAAGAAAAAAAAAAAATCCTGTAGTGTTAAAAATACATATTCAGCAACTCGACAAAAGTCAGGCCCGGGGAGAAGAAAACAGAAGCCTGATCCTGTGGCCAACTGACTTTGCACCTTATTCGATCAAAAGAACCATCTGTGGGTTGCAGTTCCAAAAAATGAAAGATCCCAAAGGTGAGCGGCAAATAACGTTATTCCCCTTCTCCTGAAGATGCACTTGTTTGTTTTTAAACACACTTGAGAAACTGTTTAAAAAACCCAAACCAAACAAAAAAACCCCACCAAGTAATATAGAAATTCCTGTACAAGAAAACATTAGGGTTCCGCAGAAGTGTTACAGTTTATTCCTTTAAGGCAATTCATAAGAAACATTTTAAAGACACGTAAACAATTTTATTCCTTTAAGATCATTTGTTATTTAGGTACCATGATGCATGATTTCCACACTTGAGCAGAAACTGTCATACAATAGAAGACACAAGAAGTTGTGTAAGCAATCAATGTCTCCAGGATTGCAGTTGCAGGAACTGCAACACATCTTTTAATAAGTATTTGCATTTTAGAGTTTTCAGCCTCTCCCCCAAACACTGATCCCTTTTCTGAAGAGGTGTTCGGGAAGGAGAAAAAGGAGGGTGAGAAGTTAAAAAAACAACAGGTCTTTTTCTGCAGGCAAAGAGATTTTGTATATAATTCACTTCTAATTCTCTTAGAATATTTCTTTCAGCCTCCTTTTTTATTATCTAAAGGGGAAAATATGCATACATTATTTAACTGATTTCTCTTAGTGTTTAGTACAGTATTTAAATTCTCTACTGAGTAATACAACAGCACAGGCAACAGGATTCCTTACATGAGAGAGAGAAAAATTTCATCATCATATTAATGCAGTCCTTCAATCCCATAAAGCTGCCAACTACAGTTACGAGCCTTCTGATTGAAGACCTGCCATCATGGACAGGATCAAAACCACTGTTTTATGTAGGCTACAAAGAAGTGATTACTTTTGGTCATTACCAACAGGTCTGTATTAAATCATATGATCTGGAAGTAAAAGCTTCTGCATTCAGTTACTAACTTGCTAAGCCACTCACAGTCTTCAAAGAGACTCAAACTCATACTGAAAGTGAATTAAATACAGTGTAATCACTAATACTGCATAATGTCTACGGAGAGATCAAAAAGGCCTAACACAGATCAATTCCAGACAGGTAAAAGAAACAGCTAGAACACCAAAAAGAAAACAAAAAAAAACTTATTCCTTCCAAAAAGTAGTAAGCATTGCCATTTACAAATAGTAGTGTTTATGTTAAAACAGAGAAGGGTACCTAAAGAGAAATAGCCTTGGCAACCAAATCCAAACGGCATGAGTGTAAATCAAAGCAAAACAAGAATTACTACTCCAGCAACGTGCAAGATGTTTACCTTGTATCAATTACTATTTGGTGGTTAAAAGAGATATTACAAAACTGAAGTGGGAAAAGGCTAAGAACTGCTATTCTGCATTAATACACAGTGTGTTTATGACAGCATTTTCCAATAGGCAATACAAGTGTTTTTACTCCACTCCAATAATTGTAAAAAGTACATTTCACGTGTACACTTAAAAAAAAATCACATTGTTCAATCTGAGGCAAATTAGCCATAAGAGTCTAATTTTGCTTATGACACATGTCAACCTTAAGATGTTAAACAGCTACACTAAAAATACAGCTTGCAAGCTGGAGCTGCACATGTTCAAACAATTCCATAAACATTAAAAAAAATCCCAAACTATGATATGTATTTATTTTCTGAAGTCAGTCTTCATAATTCTTGTCCCTACAGGACAAAAAGAAAAAAATTTTCCAGTTAAGACATACGCCTGTTTAAGTTCTACTCAAAGGAGGGGAAAAGTATTCTGAATTTTTCAATAGACTTTTTTTCCCTTAGGGCTCAACTGTCACTTAAGCATCACAAGAACAAATTGAAATGTAAAACTGATTAGCTATACACAATGGAATTGGTCACAAAGGGATTTAAAAAAAAAAGTTAAAACTGTAAGATCCATTCTCCATATAGCTCACAGTATCCACACTGGAAGTTTCTCTAGAATTAGAATAAGTTCGCTTAAAAAATAAAGCTGAAGATAGAATTTCAGCACTATGAAACAGATGAGATGGGATTAAGAGGAGAACCCATTTGTGTAAGTACTTTATCCAGCCACTGGAGGGGCCCATGAAGATGAATTTCTATCCAGCATGGGGTGCTCGTGACATCCTGTCGATGATATTCAGCTCCCCAGCCCTATAAACACAAATAAAATGTTATCAGTCAAGTTGAGGACATGCTTGTCTTTCAGAGTAACTGTACTAACAAAAAGCAGGAAATAATTTTTTAAGACACTTATCTGAAGGTAACTCACAATCTAGCAACACTTCTTATTTAAAGGAAAATAAGATTGGAAAGGAGTGGGAGGTAAGCTGCACCTGGAAGCCTGAATCAAGTCTTGTCTGCTACAGATCTGTAAAGATTACACGAACTCCTCTCTGGAGCCCACTGCTGACTCAAGAATGACTCCTGGCTACAGCCACATCTCTCTTCTGTTTCTCCCTCCTGTTCCCATACTCTCAAACTGAGCAATATTTATCATAATTGACAAAATAAGTGAGACAACTTTTGGACAAGATGCAAAAAAACCCTGGAAGGCCAAGTCTAGACTCCATGCTAAATCTGAAACAGACAGCATCTTGATCAAACTATGTTGAGAAAACACTAATGTGAGAGTAACGGCACAGTCTGATTTAATAAATTCTAATCATGTCTTTTCCCATAATTAATTTTTAAAAAAATATTAATGTCTTTGAAGGAGCTGCAATTTTTTTCTGCAATCACTTATGCTCCTCTCTACTCGCAGTCTTTTAGTGGTCTGGTAGTTCACTTTGTCCCTTCAAATTTAGAGCATGAGCTCAAATCTCCTTTAATAAAATTATAGCAACCACAATGATTAAATCCCTACCCTAAATACTGAAGTAACTAGACACACGGCCAACGTTCAACCCAGCAATCTGTGCTTCTCCCCTCTTGCATCAATTTCCCTCTCCCCACATTAACCATTTTTAACACACTTATATTGGAAAGAACCACATCAGGTCAGAGAAGCTCTGCTACATTGTTACAGTGCTAATGTAATTACTGCTGAATATCCAAATCCACAATAAATTTCCATGCCCTCAGAATAATGTGTTTACCTTTACAAAACTCATTCGAATGGTGCACATTTTGGTGAGCTCATATACTGCTTCAAATCCATGGTTGACAGACTGAGCTAAAAGCTGAGCAAACTCCTGATTGTTGAAAATTTTCAGACTGCATCCACTAGGAATCTTGCATACAGTTGTTGGATGGAAGCCATGGTGGTAGTTGCAGTTCCTGCTCTGTACAAATATGCTGCTATCACTTAAACACTCAGCATAGACTTCCCCACCAACGTAGTAGAGATGAACTCCTTGAAAACAAAGATTAAAATGTTTCAAATTATTTTTTTCCAAAAATATAGTACTTAATACAACTCCCTCAAAATCTTTTTGGAAAAGCTATTTTGCCCACACTGTAACATCCTTTCAAAATACAGTAGGCTTCATTCTACATCAGCCACTAGATGTCCTTCTCTCATCAATTACAGAACACAATCTAAAAACTGCTTCCACATATCAACAGTTATTTCAGGTTATTTTCCTAGAGAACTTACGTGGATTTTAAAACCCCAGTTTTATAAAACTGGTAGCTTCTGCCTACAGCAATTCCAACAGACATAAAAGTGTCCTGGGAAAAGGGGCAGTGACAGACATGAAGGAAAAAATATATCGATAGTCTGCTCTGATTTTCAGGGCATTTTATCAAGCAAAAGAAGGACTAAGTCCAATTAGTTGCACAACTTAAATACCATCAGGCTCTACAGACCTTGAAATCAAAGCCCCTAGATTTATCACATCTGCCTGGATTCAGCTATGTACCTAAGTGCTTCCCTCCCTTTATGTTCTGAAGCCTGTAACACTATTACCGACTAAAAATTAAAATGTAAAAGCTGCTGATCATTTCAGCATCCAAAAAGATTCTCACTGCTACTTCAGTTGAGACACCTTCCTTCTCCCAGATCATCTCCCTTTCCCTCACCCACCACTTTCAGCTATGCAGTTGGGATACAGTTCAGTTTGAGTCTTCCTGCAATACCCTGAGAATCCGCTGCAGACTATCCCATGGTTTGCCAGATGAGGCTGCAGCAAGTCAATAGATGCAAGTTAATCTTTCAGACAGCAGCAACTGCTGTGAACATTGCTAGATCCACTTGGTCCCTCCATAGACGAACCACCGGCTTCAGTAACTCCAAGCAGCTGTCAGAAAATCTGGGCTGTGCAAGAACGCATTTTCATAACACAACTCTATTTAAACACAAGGATCTCCACTTGCTATAGCTAACTTCTTTTGGGTAAAGACCTTCTGAGGGGTCTCTGAAGCATGGATCTTGATAATATAACAGTCTGAGAACAAAGAAACTTCAAAAATAATCCAAGGCACAATTAGAAGTCACTTACACTTTCTATAGAAAGAAGCTTGGTGATTGGGTAGTTTTAAGGAGGCAAAACTCAAGATCTTCCAAATAAAAGCCATAAATAAATAGTATTTTATTCCAAAACAATCTTAATTGTTCTCAGAACTGTCACCATAAAGCAAAGTTTTACTTTAACACTTAGTATTACAGATCTAGACATTTTAAAGCTCATTGCAGCCAGTACTACTCTACAACATGATGTTGGATCCCTGTTACATCTCAGACCTTAGCTGGATATGCAAGATTCCTCTGCTAATACCATCAAAAGGGGTAAGCCAAAACAAAAGAATCTGACAAACCACCCACGCCCCAGAAATCAGTTGTTCCACCTTTATAACAATAAATTTGCTTGGACAACAGAACTGCAGAACCAAGTTTCCAACAGATATTAATATCTCTCATGATCTCTAGATAATCTGCAAACTGTTGCCGTATTTATTGTAGTTGCTAATTAAAAGACTGATAAGGGACAGGATAGGTCTTGAAGAGATACTACAAGCAATAGTGACTTTAATTAAAAAAAAAAAACTCAAGACCAACTGTACCAAATGCTTTTAGGTGCTCAAAAGGCCTCTAGAGATGCACAAGAAAAATGGGGTTCTCTTCTCAGGACTTACAAAAAAGGAGATATTCATAAAAGGAGTATTATATTTGAAGATAATCCAAGGACATTCCATTGAAGGTGAAAACCGCGCATCTATATGTGCTATCAGCCAAACAGCACGGGAAAACTAGAAGATCTTGCAAAACCTGCTGTCTTCAGGAATCCCTCCCACACACATACACGCCCCATGGATTCACTCAGACAAATGAGCCCTTGCAGTTTTCTATTAGCACTTCAAAGTGCTGCTGCCAAGTCATGCAAGATATTTGAACGTACTGTAGACAGCAGCATAATACCTTGCATGAACAACAACAACAAAAAAATCTTTGATATACTGCAGAGTGGTAGGAAGAATTTGATTTAAGAAGCAGATATAAAATAGAATATCAGAAGCCCAGCAATATGTTTCTTGGTGCAAAAACCACAAAATTCTACACACAGACTACCATTAACCATAATAAACAAGGACCTACGACAGTATAGCTTGGTAAGATAGAGGTTAATATTTAATCTTTTAAATTAGGATCAGAAAAAAATGTATGCAATTCCTAGACTAACTAGAATCCAACCAAGCCTAAGTTGTCTTCAGGTACTGGAGAGGTAGATAATATACATCACACATCGCTTCTGCTATTCTTATCGGAGAATAATCATTGTTGCAGTTATACAGAAATTGAAATAAAAACAAGGACTTAGCGTCTTAATCATGCATAACACAACTAAGCTTTACCTTTTCCAATATGTCGTCTAGTGTTCTCAATTGTTGAGTTGCGATTAACATTTGAGAGCAAACCTAAGCAGAACCTGTTCTTATTATTGGAGGGATCTGTAAACCCATCCACTAAGACACTTGTAGAAGAGGCATGAAAAGCCTCCCCAACTCGATTATTTAATTCGTAATACACAATCGAACACCAGTGTTTGGGTTCTTCATAGGCAACAGGCTGAACATCTGAAAATAAGCAAAATGGAAACACCAGTTTACATAAAAGTTACAATATTAAATCTAAAACTGTAAAGCATGCCTTCCAAAATGTTAACAGATAACTAAAAGCTTAGTTAACAGTTATGATAGGCAAAATCAGTCCTGATGAAGATCTTAATGATTTTTACTTTCATGCATTTTTAGCTAGTCAATTGATTTTTATAATTCATTTCCTATTTTAAGCCTAATACTAAACAAACAAAAAAAAAACCTACACAGAAAAATTCAGATGACCTATCAAGTGAAACATGATTCTTCTGCCCACTTTTAAAAAATTCGTTATAAATGATATTTTGAGACTTCATTTACAGAGCCTTTTTCATATACAATTCTAAGAGCAGTCTAAGAGCAGGCAATGGTAGCAGAAAAGACTAACTCTGTGAAACTAAAAAAGTTCGACTTGTTGTAAGCATGCTATGCACCCGAGGCTTTAAAAGCAAGAGATGCAAATAAGCAAGGCAAGTTTTATTTCTCAATTCTTTCTGATAAGCCCCGGTTTGCCTTGGAGGGCTGCTTCTGCTTATCAACAAGGTTCACTGTGCCATTTGAAGTTATTCATTCAATTTGGTCATGAGTTGTAAGAAGCCAAACCACATTTAACTTTACACCGTACTACACAACTTACCTCTGGTAGATATATTTGGCATGATTTGAGGGATCATTGTATTGCTGGTGTCCATAGACTGAGAATTATCCTGCCCCATTTGATCATCAGGGGGCATATATGCAGGAGGTGGAGTATCAGCTACAAACATGAAAAAAATAAGAATGAACCTCAACAATGTACAATATTTATTCATTCTACACAAGTAAACATACAAAAATACTCTCAAAACAAGAGATGTTAAAACATTTGGACATGTTTTCAAAGTAACCTGAAGACAACCCAGCCAGCTGTCTTTACAGTAACCTCCTTCAGTAGTGGGATTCTTACTCATGGGACTAATAACAACATTGGACACTTGAGGAAAACTGAGAGGTGCTTTTTTCTTTAACGACAGCACTCCTGCAGCTGGGCAAGTTCCCACTGTTCTTTTTTTTTTTTCCTCCACACAAACATTATCTTTCTTGCTTATCCTCTTCTCCATATTCAAAAAGAAAGTAGCAGAAGAGGTAACTATTTGATGTAGCATAATGAAGGCCTAAACCAGTTATTTTTTTGCTACTTCTGTAGGCTGACTTCATTATAAAAGCCCATAATCTCCGCATTCTCCCATTCAGCACAGCAGTCAGTGCAACAACACGCTAGTATCCTCTATTTCAGAAATTCCCTCCAGATACCATCAAGGCATCCATCCCAGTGATCACAGTCCTTACCCAAGGCGGACACCCCACTGAATGGACACTCTTTTACGGCACTGGGCAGACAGAAAGAACAAAGATGAGGCCACTGAGCTACTAGAAAAATTAGTCCTTTAATCTTGTTAACATCTTGGCTTTATAAACCACACCAATTTTTCCAGTTAAATACCACATGTAAGTGCCTTTAATCACAGAAAGACATCAATAAATTTCTCACTCAGCCTCTTACATCTGCTTTTTTTTTTCATTGCTAGATATTCTTCTAAAGTATGTATCAGTTATTCTACACTGAAGCTGTGCAAAGTAACTCACCACTATAGTATTCATGAAAAAAAAAACCATTTGGAAAAATAAAACTGCAACAATTATCTCTGAGCAGTGACAAAACTAGGAAGAAAACCCCTTAAAATGCAAATGGAAAAGCACTTTATCGAAAGTATCACAAATTCCTGAGGTAGTAAGTCACAACAGCATGTGACATTTCAATTATTTTTAATCAGTTGACATTTAGGCTGTACTTACCCGGTAACTGAAATGGACTAGATGGTCCAGAGCTAGCTGGGGAGCTTGGGTAAGTGCTGCTGGCTGGCGAAGGTGGATAGGGACTGTTTGGCGAAATGGAAAATGGAGTGCTGTTGGGTTGCTGGAAAGAATCTGGAAATGTCGCGTTGTGTGGCATATGGGGTTCATTGTGGCTTAGGTTCCTGAACTGAACTAGTAGACTGTGCTGTGGATTGAATTCACTATGTCTAGGCACTAACACTGGAGGTAGAACTGAAAAAAGCCAAACAAAAACCAGATAAAGTTAGATTAAAAAGTGAGGCAGAAGGAAAGAGATGCAAATAACATGCTATTCTGCTCATCATGAAAATTTCAACACTAGCTGGGGTGGAAAGAAGTAGGGGATTCATCTGTCATGCCTTTACCCCATCCTCTCTCCTTTATTTTTTTTACATTACACTCCATGGAAGACTCAAACTTTCCTCTTCCAAAAATTAGAGCAAAAACATGTTTGTATTTCAAGCAACTGGAAGCAGACCTTTTTGGAAAAGAAAAAAAACTAAACAGTCCACATGTGGCACATACTAAAGTACTGACTTAGAAGTGCAAAACACACTGTGTACATTACCAAATCAGTAAAAATGGAAATAGAGTCTATATTACCATAGTCACGCTCTATAGTTGCATATAGTCCTTTTCACTGAAGACAAACAAAATCTGTACTACAATAAATATCTGCTAAGCTGGAGTTTTAATGTTTAAATTCAAGAGTGCTGGAGTCTGGAATTCAAGTGCTACAGTAGAGCACTTGAGCACTACAGACAGTTTCAGCAGAGTTACAACAATAGGAGCAACTTTTCACTATACTTTCCAGAGCAACATACTTCATCTCTCCCACTCGTAACCACAATCCTCCTCACCTTCTCCCATGGCAACGTTGTCTAAATAGCAGACTTGTTTGTACCCAACTCGTTTGGTCTTATGTCTTACTTCACTTGTAGCAAGCAAATTTGGTACCTACCTTGCTCCAACTCATTGTCACTCTTGGTTCTCTTCAGCCCTGCTGCCTGCTAATGGGACATCAAGTAGGGTACACTACACCCTAGAATTTTTTTTTTTTAAATCTCCTCAATTCATGTCACTCACTGATGAAATATTAAGCCCCTGAAAGAAGGTTACCAACCTCCTTGCAAGGACTGAGGTTTTTAAACAATTTTCTCAAAGAAATGGAAGTCTTTTGATCACTGCTTTCTATTTTATTACAAATTAGGACTTTGCCACCAACTTTAAGGGTAACAGGCTTAAGAGATCTGTGGGAAAAGTATGATTTACCACAAAGAAAAACAGCTAGCACAGCAGAATGGACAACACACCTCCCCAAAACCTCACCAGAAAAGTACACTTTGAACATTCCTCTTCCACACTCCCTCATACACCAAATATAATTCATTATGCAGTACTGGAGGAGGAAGGAGTGAAGAGTAAGTGGTTCCTGTGGATTTTGTTCAGTTTTTTAGACAGCCATGTTCAAACATACCTGGGCTCTCCACCCTCTTGTAGTGGTATGGATTGATGCAGACTTCCTTCTGTTTAGATCCAAAAGGAAATTCACAAATATCCAATGGCTTCAGCTCATGATGGCTTTGTAGATCAGGCCAACGCCAAACACGACAGTAAATTACATGGGGAAGGCCTTTTCTGTGGGAAACTTGAAGTCGTCCATCTAAAGAGCGGGGGATAGTAACACACTTGCTGGGTTGTCCTGGACTGCTCAAGGCTTTCTCCAGTTCTTCCATAGCACCCTTTTTCTTTTTCAGCTTTTTTACTAAAGCATCAACAGCTTTTTCTGCCCATTTTTCCTCTTCATCTCCTTGTTTCCAGCCCAACAGACGCTTTACAGCTGGGCTAGTAAAGGAGAACAAACTGGCCATTGACGTCATTTGACACAAGTCTTCAAAAGGTTTGTTGGGTTTTGTCTGTTGGGTTTTTTTTTGTTGTTGTTTTGGTTTGGTTTTTTCAAATAAATGTCAGCGTATACCAAAAATAATTATTGCCACCGATGAGCTATATTATTTCTTGGAGGCTGCTGAACAAACATAGAGATGTCAGTGATGAAGTCTTCACACCAAAAATAACAATCAATTCTTCCAATTTAATTCTGTTAAAAAGATAAGTTAACAAGTATTAGTAAACAAGTAAAAGAATGTGGTAAAACAAAAAGGTAGATATTAAAAGAATGTCTGTTTCAACCTTGGCCATTGCAACTGATTCTGTTTCAAAACAAAGTCCTAGAACTACTAGGACCTCACCAGCTAAATGAAGTGAAATGTGATTAGAGCCCTCAGTTCTTGCATTATCAATTAGTGAGGAAAAAGAGACAATTAAGGGACCAAAGGGACAGCATGGTGTCTGTTAACAATGCTCCTTAAGTCTGTGAGTTTCCCTCAGAAGATAAGCTTGGGAAACATGCTTTAAAACTGATATTACATCCCTGTCACAGAGCTCCACCAGAAGACTCAAACTTGCTGTGAAGAAACAGGCAGGAGGCAAGGTGGAACCAGTAGTTCCACAGCCAGTACTGCCCAGAAGTACTCAGCTTCTCAAATGGATCTCTACTTCCCAAAAGGAGAAATTACTAAAGCATCTACTTGTTCTTGAGCTCTAATTAGGTATCCCATGTTTTTTGAAGAGCATTAAGAAAAATGAGGAAGAAACTGTAGATAACTTAAACAAAACAAACAACAACTAAAAGAAAAAACCAATAAAAATCCCAAACCAACCCCTCCCCAGCCACTCAAAGGTGGTCAACATTTCAGCAGTGGCTATTTTTACACTGCACTTCCTTATATCTCTTAAGAATATTTGAAGCGCTAGATATTTTTAGCCTTTGGCAAAAAAAAAAAGTTTTCTTTTCCCCAGAAAAAGAGCGGGGTGGGGGGGGGGAAGGCATGGCAGAGTAAGTACTAGAAATGTGACCTTTACTACAAACTGCTCAGAAAGGAGAGGAACATAATAACACTGTGCAACTCACACAGCGCTTGTGAATGGTGGTGGCTGCTACCGCTCCCCAGCTCTAATGCAAATCCTCCCCCCACCACAATTTAAGGAGTAGATGACAAGAGGAAATGATGTGCTGTGGCAACGAACTGATAAGAACTTGTAAAATCCCTTGTGAATACTAAATAAGCAAGTACAGACAATGAGCAGCTGGCAAAAAGCAAGAGCAGAGCTAAGAGAAAGGATGTCAATAACAAAAGATGCTTCCTTTCTTGCTACAGAGACTGACAAACAACATTGTCTCTCAACTTCTGATAACCGTGGTGAATTAGAACACCTAACAGACCGTGATACACCAAATCTGCACATAAGAGAAAAGGGAGAGGGAGCAAGATTTAAGTAACCTCTGTGCTGCTTCTCTTAGATTGCTATCTTTAATCAAAGGGATCTTTTTTCCTCCCATCTTTGATTAACTAAAAATCATTTGAGAAGGCTTTTCTAAATGCCTAGGCACATTTACAAGCTCACTCAGACACATGGATGGGTACTTGCCTATAACAGAACCATATATTAAGCATCATCAGCCAAAGATACAGCAAACATCTCTAGACAAAGCATTTATAATGTCCCACATGTAATCATCCTAGATTTTCTGCTGGGGAGGTGGAAGATGAGGAAAGCAGGGAACAGACCCAAGGCCACTTGGCTACAACAAAAAGTGTAAGCTTAAAAAAATTACAAACAGCCTTTACAGGAAAAAAAAAATCAATTTATTTCACACAGTAGCTTAATCCCATTGGTACTTCTTTGATTATTCAGATTTGTTTCAATAATATGGAAAAACTGTGAAAAGAAAAACAAACAGAAAAACTGTTTGAAGATCTTTCTTCCTAAGATAAAAACAAAATGAAAAAAGAAATAAAAGGAACAAAAGTCTCTCACTGCTTCAGCAAGTCCTTAGAGGAGGTTATTGCAAAAAGAAAAAAAATTATGTATCACCTCATTTCTTCAGAGACAAGGACATGTCTGCACTTTAAGTATAAATTTAGTTCCCTAGAATTATTACACATGAGAACCTTTGCACCCTTCAAAGCAACAGGAAAGACATAAAGGGAGATAAACTTGGCCAAGAACACAGACTAAATTTATTCTTTTATTGAGGATAAAAGTTTAGTGTTCTAAAAAGTAAAAGCTGTTTACAGTTGCAATTAACCGACTTCCAAGCCTTGGGTACACTCAATAGCTGTAAGGTATCAGCAGTTGCTCACACCCCTAAAAAAGGAAATGAACCCACCTAGAATCTCAGACCAGCAAGAAGACAATTAAAACTTCTATTTCTGTTTCTCAGCTATGCTTTCAAAGAATCTGAAGAATCATCAAGGCAGAACATGTACTAGAAATTCCTACAGTTAAGTCGAGCTCAGAAGAGATTTCAAGAAATGCCTCTTGGCTCTTGCCAATCGGATCTATTCCATTACAGCTGGCCCATCTATATCACACAATCAAGTTTACAGATCTTCTATTCTGTTCTATGATCGGGGTTGTTTTTTGGTTGGTTTTTTTTTTTTTTTTTTCAAACACAGTAACATGCAGCAACTAGGAATGAAATTTTACTGGTTGTATATCATTTCAACATCATTTTCCCACAAGTATGCTCATGGAATAAACAAGCTAACTAAAAGCAAAGAAAGCTGGAAGAGTTCTACCAAAAAGATGCTTTGCAATAACTAGTGTTTGTAGGGCAAGTACTAAGAGAATTTTGATAAATTACTCTGTCCTATAAACTAAGATTTTAGAAATAATCTGCTTAGAGTAAGTAACATAATTAGCTCTAAAAACTTTACATTAGTTTGCTATCAACAAAAACAAAACCTAGTAGAACAAGTATTCCAGAACTTCATAACAGATTTGATCAAAACTGTTTCAACTTAAAAAAAACCAAAACACACATACATGTTTGTACTATAACCACTGAAAAAAATGAGACTGTTGAAGTTCAAAACTTTAGTAGCATTTACTGTAAATCCATTCCGGCCACCCATGAGGCCTTCACAACTCTTCTGCTGAAGTGTATTTTTACCTGCTGAAGAATAGCAAGTGCAAAAAAGAAACCCTGTAACAAACTGATAGGCCTTGAGAGGTACAAATGACACCCAATTTATCTCATTATAGGCTTTTCAGAAATTCATTCTGGGGGGAGGCAAAAATACTGGAGGCTTACAGCTTTTGCTTTTTCTTAAGAAAACAAGGTAGTACTAAAAAGTTTCATGAATCATTTGTAGACTAAAAACTGTTCCCTCCTTTGGGGCTATTTAAGGTCACAAAGCAGTAGGTTCAGGCATTTAAGTAAAAACCAAACGTTTTCATGTAGGAACTGCAACTCCTGTAGGGTTTCAAAATTTCTGAATGAACGGCATAAACCACATCTAGAACATTTACTTGCATTTGATGTAATTTCAGCATCTAATTTTTGGAAGGTTTCTAAGCAATCATGACATATGCAAGGGACTGCTTCACCAGATCATCATATTTACCACCAATTTCTTCTGAGGCTTTCAAAGTGCCTGTTAGGAGCTGTGACTGTAGCACAACAGTGCATCACTAAGATTTAAGCACAGAAACAAACACTTTAAAGAGTCGCATTTTCACTCACAATATTGTACAAATCACTCATATTGTTGCACCTCTAGACCCAGCTGGTAACAACATTCACGGGGAAAGCTTGCTTAAATTTCTCTAAGAGGCTGAGGGTCTATTATGCATTACCTTCTTTTATTTAATAACTTTTCAACTGAGCTACAAGAGAACACTGGGTGAAAAACACGTTATTAAGTTTGAAAACACAGTTACACACACTCTCTAAAGAGCAAGTGTACTGCATTGCATGGGGTAGCACGAGGGGGCTTTTAATGGGTGAATATAAAAGGAAGTAATCGCTGTATCAAAATTAAACTTTGGGGCATGCACTATTTATACATTTAAAGTTCTTGTTAATGACTACAGCAAATGGAAGGAAACTAGTCGTGTGAACAGGTCCATTGTTTGAACCCCTTCTTAATACCTCCTCAAGCCAGCTAGATAGAAACAAAGTTGGTGAACAGCAGAACTTAGAAATTACATTTCATTTGTGAAGATGGGAGAAGCAGACCATCTTTCATCTACCATCACAAATGCTAAGGAACTCAACTACCTTTCGGTTCCTCTTCTGAGATTTTCTTGGCCCTACTATATTAAACTGGCAAGTTCAGCAGATAAATTTGATTCGCCATCAAGGAATCTTCTGGTGAAAAGGGCGTGAGGCTCACAGCAGAACAGATCAATATGAAATCACAGACAGTATATTTTAATGAGATGCACTTTTTTATGCAATATGTTCTGCCATTGATTACAAACTAATTTTCCCATTTGCAAAATCTAAATTCAAAGTACCACTAACCAAGCAACCTATCACCGCAAGCAGCACGGCAATGAATGATGCTTTCCACAAGCATAAGAATAACACGGGTAACAACTACATGGTCCACATCCTTTCCTACCACCAATACCACGCTCCTATTGCAAATGTACAAGCACTATTATTTTCCTGCTTAATTTACTTGTTTGCAAATTAAGAACGCTTCCTGTAACATCATACCCAATCTGAAACAAGGAACTTCACTCCTCATGATTAGAAGCTGCTCTGAGACTCAATTTCGTAACATAAACAAACCACCACTTGTAACCAGCTACACAACTGCTAGTTCATTAGAGCTGCTTCAGACTCGCAGTCAAAACTGTTTCTCAGTCAGCTCTTGTGCTTAACTTTATTGCCCCTTCAAACTTAGAAACACTTTAATATTTTGACTCCATCCACGTTAACACATTACAGGTTCATGCAGAAAGCTCAGAAACTCAATTACAGTATATTCAGTTATCAATATTTCTTTAAAAACTACAACCTCACACATGGATTTCACCTGGTTTTATTAAAGTCCTTCTTTCCTTACAGATTTCCTGACAGGAATTGTGCAGGATTGTGCTTGACTTTTATTATCATTTTACACTGCAGCCTAGCACAGCCTCCCATGCAATGGCACTCATTAGAGCCTTTTCTTGACGACAAATCTAGAAAAAACATTGGCTCCACAGTTTTTTCCATGCATATCAAGGATAAAATA